TTGTATGTTTTACTCAGTACTATTGATAGTCGACTATCGAAAAACTATCGATAGTATTATCGATAGTCGACTATCGATAGTTCTGAGACACTATCAATAGTTTTGGAAAAACTATCGATAGTATCGATAGTCAATTTATCGATAGTTGTGGATCACTACTCTGGAGTCGAGAATAATACCACCCGCCGTGGAAGCTGAAGCAAATGATGAGACAAAAAAAAAAAAAAAAAGCTTTGACAAAAAGTGGCCTGCTCCACGAATTCTGAGCATGCTGTGATCATCCCGAACCTCATCATGATCAGAAATTTGTGACAGGGGCTTCATAGGGTGTCTGAAATGCCGAGGCTCAATCTAAAAAAAAAAAAAAAAAAAGATTGTAAAAATTGGCGCCGGCACGTAGCGATCTAAACTTTTCGTTTGAAGGTGCATTTCACAGGTAAGTTTTCCCTTGCAAAACTACAAGGCATATATCTTTTTCTGTAATAAAATAGGGTCAACAAACTTCTCAGGGTCAAAGGCGGACGGTGACGCAGATGACCGAGTCCAGTGGCGGCGGGGCGCGTTTGGCGTGCGTATTGATAGATGGCGTCGGAAGCTGCGTCGGAATGTGTAGCTGACCAGCGAAAGAAAGCAGACGACACCCTCAAGAAATCCGTCGGCAGCAAAAGCGCCGCCGTTATGCAACCGCGTTTTTTTTTTTTAATTTTGGTAATTTCAGGTTTTGCTCTCATTGTCCGCATTTATTTTTAAACTAAATATATATTACAAATAGATTATGTTTATATTGATATTCCACGGGACACAAGCAGTTTCGATATTTTTTAAAAGCCAGCCGGAAGAAGGGGGTAGCGCCATATACCAATACGTGCGCCTAAACGCGCCCCGCCACTCGACTCGGTCGTCAGCGTCTTCGTCCGACGTTGACCCTAGCAAGTGTTTTGGCTCTATTTTTTTCTTACAGATAGCTACGCCTTGTTATTTTACAACGTAAAACCGACCTAGATGTGAAATACACCATAGACGAAACGTTTAGATTGCTACGTGCAGGCGCCGATTTTTACGGCAAATTTAAGATGGCTACTCGGCATTTGAAACACCCTATAGTTGTTCACTTGTGTGCCCCCATGTGGCGTATTCGTCTTTAACTTTTACGCCGTGTGCGAATTCCATCCAAATGGGAGTGTGCTCCAAGTGAAAAAACGAAAGCAACTTCAAAGACAAAAACAGGATGAAATAATAAGTGTCTTGCGGTTGCAAAAGAGTGATAATTTTATTTTCACGTCACGAGGGTCCGTGACGTGACGTCACGGATCCTCGTGACGTCACGTGTGATGTCACGAGGGTCCACGCGCTGCATTATGGGAAACGTCCCATAGTGGGACGTTTTCCCCTTCCTGCTCTCCTCCTCTCTCCCCTTCCTCCACTCCTCCTCCCTCCTCCTCTTCCCTCCTCCTTCTTCGTTGAGCACTGCGTTTTCTTCTTGAGGAGGAGGAGAGGAGGAGGAGGAGGGAAGATTCCAGCTACCCGTTGTGCAGGCAAGTGATATCATCATTAATAAATCACAGGGAGGCACGTATGAAGACGTGGTGTACTCGTCATCCAAGTGGCCATCTACATGGGTACGGGTCTGTGCTGTACCCATTGATCTCTGTTGCACGTGAGACGAAGTTGGTAAATTGTGTGCCGCCAAGATCCACAACGGCTTGCTCGTGGTAGCTCTGTATCACTCGTCTACGGGACTCACCAAATATTTCGTGCAAGACAAAGAAGTACTTCATACCAGTCACGCAGGAAAACATCCGATTGGCCCCGAGGGACGTGCACTCGCTGCTCTGCTGTGCCATCTCGGGGGAGCACGCTCAAGACTAATGCTGAGGAGATCAAAAACGCCGAGCAGTCTTTGAAAGATGTTCGACAGAGTAGGATGACATCGAGAATATCACGTGCTTCGTCATCATGTTGACTTTAACGCTGTCTCATTCTCTCGACTTGCTTCTGCTGTCCTGTTTCCTGGCACCGGCAGAACTTGGAGTGGAGCTTCCAGACGTGAGATTTCCATTTCCTTCCTCGGACAAGCGGCGAGCGAGAATACCAGAATATATATATATATATATATAATATATATATATATATATATATATATATATATATAATTATACTATATATATACTATATATATATATATATATATATATATATATATAATATATATATATATATATATATATATATATATATATATATATATATATTGGTATTCTCGCTCGCTGCTTGTTCGGAGGAAGGAAATAGACATTCTCCATTTCCTTCCTCCGGATTATATATATATATATATATATATATATATATATATATATCAGATTGTTTAGCACGGTAAATCGCAAAACCGAAATACCCCAAGGGAGGAGCAGGAAGAGGAGGAAAGGAGGGGAGGAGGAGCAGAGAACGAGGGAAGTAGCAATGGAGTAGGAGAAAAGGAGGAGGGGAGTAGGAGAGGGCACGGATGAGGAGGAGGGGCATACCGTCCCCTCAGTACCCTCCCCTCCTCCTCCACAAGAGCTGCGCTCTAAATCGGCACTACATGTAATTGTAAACGTCTTCAATTTCTTCTAAGAAATAAAGAGAATATTAAAATTGTAATTGATGTGCGTTTCCTTATACCCAGGTAATTAAAGTCATGGGGGATTGCAATCTTTTGTCAAGAAAAGGAGAAATTGATAATTTTACAAATGGAACCTATGCGGAGAGCAAGTCGTCTGCTACTTGTGCAGGAGTTGCGGTGACGTCAGAACGACCCTGAGCTCCGACTGGCTTTGATTGAAAGGATAATGGGTAGACCTCAAAGCTAGATGCCTTGAGGTCAGTCCAATATTGTTTCAATCCGCCAATAAGGGCTCGGCGCTCTGACATCATCGCAACCCCTATGCAACAACTTAAACGAACTTGCTTTCAGCCGGAGACTATAGCCAATCAATGTTTTGCTGGAGTCACGTATATTTCTAATAAAGCCATCTCCACTGCTCGAAACGGAAACCGAAATCGAAACATGAGCACGGAGTATCATGGCCGAGACAAGCGGACCAACACTCCCTAGACAACAAAGCAGTAGTGCAGAGCCGTGTATAGGGAGAGTTTGGTCAATGGGAGGAGCAGGCACAGCCAAGGCGTGCACGAGACGCTTGACATGTTCTTTTGACCAACCAGAATCCGAAAAGAACCTCCTAACGGCGGAAGCGGGAGACACTTTTAATAAGTGCGTAAAGGTTAAATAGAGTAACTTTGTCTGGGTTAAAAATATAGTCATGTGACATTTGGATAATGATCATGCAAAAACGGGGTCTAACCACCCGGACGGGACTCGGAGGCATAATCCTGGCACTCGGCGCCTGGCGTACAGATCACGTCGATCGTTTTCCTAGATTTTAATTTTGCATTACCGTAACTAAAAAAGAAAAAAAAAAGATAAATAAATAAAATAAAAAGATAATATGCACCATATTTTTAGTCACCGGGAGTTACTTCGACGAACTTGCTAATTTTGTTCCTCGCGACCACCGCCAGGGTATTATTTGCGGCTTCGGGCTGCCCACGTTCGAATCTGTGAAGACGCCCAGGAACACGCCCAGCCCGCTATCGGCCAATGGCGCCTCCTCCTTTGCCTCCTATACTTCCCAATGAATGGCCACTCTCTCTATATATACGGCTGTGCCGTACTGCTGATAGAGATATCCCCATTGGCAAAGGCCAACGCTGGGAACAGATTGAAGACGACGATTGAGTCAACATTCATCTCAAACTTGACTCGAAGCCCAGCACTGGCGCAGCACTCGTTTCCAGACTGTGTCAATGGGTTGGCCTTCACTGCTGGCGCAAAAATGTCAGCACTACGACCTTGTCTTCTAGGTGGTACTGGGTTGACGATGTGTACCGAGGAGGAGGAAAACATATAGAGAAGGAGAGAGTTGCCGCAAGTCACGTGGCTATACCCAACCGCGGTTTTCTCTTTTGTACGCTTCTCCGGCGTGTCAAGCAGACGACGACGACGGCGACGACGACGACGAGGGTGCATGCACCGTTTATCGTGCGATTATTTCGCACTTATATTCTTTCCGATCGATGTTCTGCGCTTGAAGATAGATTGTCCGGTATCAGGAACGACAGTTCCCAAGTAGTGGCCCAACGTCCGTCGCAAAGTTGGTCCGTCGTGCACCTCCATCGCGCCATCCAGCCTGTGGTACGTCGCCACATTGAGAATGACGTGCACATGTACTTCCTGTGATCTGTGCAACATGTCGTCTTTTTCTTTTTCCATCAACGTATTTGGTGTTTTTGGGGGGTACAAAAATGGGGTTCATATTCGTTTCTATTTTTATTATTAAATGTGTGCCTCAGATGACACGCAACTTTGAATATATTTGGTACGCATAGTTTGAACGCCACGTGACCATGGAAGAGAGAGAGAGAGAGCGCGACTGAAACCGGTCACTTCTCAACCAGATGTTTACGGGTGGAAATAAAACTAATTTCGAGCCGCAAATTGTGTTTTGGTTATTTGATCTGCTATAAGTCATGTTCAAATGAAAACCTCGGGGATCATGAATACCCTGTTAGTGTCCTGTTAAGAATAATGACTGAACTGTAATGATCAGAGGAGCATCAATTGAGGTATATTCAGAAATTTTGGTGGCAGCGTTTGATCCCTGTGTGCCATACTGAGTAGGCCAGGTACGTGAATTATCTACGTGAAAGTTATGGGTCTCACTTAAATAGATAATTGGTTGTCGAAAACTAGTAGATAATTAAAGAAAAATAATGTATCTGCAGTCGTGTTACTGAATGATTTAAAAAAAAGGCCAGTACCGTTTCATCCCCGACATCATAAAAAGAATAGGTGTCTCCACTTTGCAATAAAAACACATTTATTAAAACATTAAAAGTCCAAGCAGGGGCGCACGAACCCCATACAACCAAACCCATGCCACTGAAATGCACCGGGCAATTTAGCAGTAATCGGGAATCGGGGCCTTGGTAGTTGTTGTAGTTGTCACCGGAGCTTCTGGTGGAGGCGCAGGTCCGGGTGGGGACGGAGGTCCAGGTGGGGGTTGTGGTGGTGCTTCTGGATCTTCGGGAGAAGCAGTGGGAGGTCCTTCTGGCGGCGCTGGCTGTGCAGGCTCATTCGGGGGTGCGGGTGGTTGTGCTGAAATATTTAAGCCTTATAAGAATACGGGAAGAAGGCCTTCCGGAGCAGTGCTCTTTCTGGCGTGGGCTAAACCGCGGCGTAAAAATTAGCCGATAATATTGTCCGACGTACGGAGCACCAGTATAGACGCTTTCAGGCAGCTGTGCATGGGCGGCGCCATAACCGACCTTCAGTTTTTGTTTCCTCTTATTCCGTTCGCTTCACTTCATCATTGCGACAGCAAAACAGGTTACTGCCACTTTAGGTGCTACAGTGTCCTTCTCCCCAACCAAGGCCTTTGTGGAGGCTGGTCAATGCCCGCTTCAGTGGCTCGGCATCTCGGTAAGACAAGAGAAGGTCAGCTATGGCGGCTCAATCTGGCGCGCGCTGAAAGCGTCTATAAGATCCCCCCCCCCAAAAAAAAAAAACACAACGTGATCGAAAGAGGGGAAGTGTTAATTTTGTTTATTGTCCTTATGATAATGACTAATTCAAAATAGGCAACAATTTCTAACAGCCTGAAAAAAAAGGAGAACGCAGGGTGTGGCTTATTATGTTTACGCCCCTCGCTTTGTGATTGGTTGTCCGGCATTCTAATGGCTAATGACGGAATCTGATTGGTTGAAGAGTGATAATAAGATGTTAGGGACTATCCACGCGCTGAGTTACTTCAGTTGTCAGTGACTACAGCAAAATAGTTCGGAGGTTTAGGAACTGTCTTCTTAGTTAGGGAATAGTCTGTCAAATGGGTTGCTAAAGGTGTACGGAAGCGAAAGCTTTCGCTTATTTCTTTGCATAAATACGGCCTACCGAATTTAAAGACCTCAGAAACACTACTACTTGGTCGGAAAACGCGGGAAAAATATTTCTAAAAGGAATTAAACGATTTACTAATTTCACCTAGCGGTTAAGCCTGAAGCTTTTTTGAAGGGCCCAATCGTCATTGGCCCCGTAAGAGCAGCGCTGCGCCGCGGTAGTACGTCGTACTAGTGGATGCGAATCAGGATGGTACATGTGAACGAGAGATTGGCAAATAAGGTGACCGTTGAGTAGGCCAAGCTGGGCTGCGTCAGCAAGCTTCCCAGAGCCGTTCCCGTGTTCACGAAGGTGATGGCCTGGCGGCCGTCCCCCTCGGAAATATTGTTTGCTTCGTTGGACATATCAAATGTTCGCGATCATTCTGTACGTCTACTGCGGGACACCGTTCTATTGTGCGGCAGAGGGCTTAGACAGCAGCGTCGTGTATCGACTATCGTGAGATAGTTGACACACCACGCTGTCCACACCGCGCAGGCAGTGCTGTCAGCGCTGACTGCGCGGTGTACACAGCATGCAGGGAAATCATTTTTGTAGTCAAGAACTTACTACGAAAGGAGCGCAAAGGCGCCAAGAAGTACGCAGATTACGCAACAGCATGGCATGACCGAATAACCGCATCGCGTGACTGCGATCTCGCTAGAAGCGAGCCGGCGCCGGTGTAGGTGGCAGATGTCGTCATCGTAGTAATGATCTTCCTGTTTATGTGGTATTCCACACAAAACAGCAGGTCCTGCAACGCTAGCAGTCTGCGAACGCGATCGTGGCGATGGTGATGGAGCGGTCATTTGGTCGTTTTGCCCTTGCTTACCTCGGTCCTCGACAAAGCAAGGTTGTAACGTTTGGACACCTTAAAAATTTTTTCTGTTTGTTTGTATGATTTTATTTGAGACAGACTTAAAGAAAGTCTCACGGGACATGGCTAATGGCACTTTGAAGTGCCTGACGAGGCCACGCCACCCTTTTTGGCAACAGCGATAGCAAAACAAGGCAACAAGAGTGACATGCTTTCCCTGCTAAACAGTAAAAAACAAATACAAAAGAAAACAAATAAGCAGCAACCAGAGGTGTGGGAAGAGAGGTGGGCTAGTTATCTATAATATTACAATTTGCTTCAATAGATCTTTAAAACATTACTTATTTTTTGCGCTATCACATCATTCCAGAAGTTCAGGAGATATTTTTCGTTGTTTTATTCATCCGTAAATAAAATTTCTTTCACACTTTTCTTATAGTTAAGGTGTGACGTGGCACTATTTAGAAGGTCTAAAATGGTTGGGTTTTGGTTAAAAAAATGGGGTATCTGAAAACTTAGCTTCTGATATCTATAATTTGACGTGAACAAGATTTCACTGTTACATTTTGTTTTAAATTGTACGGGCCAATTTTCACGGGGAGTTTGCAGGGAACGAAAATTTGCCAGTATGAAATTGCCACCAAACCTCGAGGAATAGTTTATATTTGTGTAGATATTTTAATAAGCTTACTATTTGGTATGCTTTAAAGTATGGTGCGGGCATTCCTAAAACAATGTAAGTTTCCAGTTGCTTGTAATGCTCGCTTTTGTATACATAAGAGACGATCTAAATTTGTTTGGCATCTAGTTGGTACACCAAGAGACAATAACTTATGCGGGTTTTGAGGGCGAAAAAAGGGGCAGAGCTCATAACTAGGATACGCTTGGCCCCGATAGATCTGATGACGTCAAGGGCGCAACCTGTAGCGACGGATATCCTGAGACAATTCGCGCTCTGCGGTTATCGATTTTGAAGCACTCGACAAAATACGGCATTTAGAACGAAAAAACGAGAAACTAAAACGAAAAAAAAAAGAATAAAAAAAAGCGAAGAGCAGTTTTAATCACAACTTTACACAACGAATGAAAGGCATCGTAGAAGAACCAAAGCACCGACGCTACATCGTCGCCCAGTGTTGCTTGATTAACAGCCAACGCGCTGGCCGCCTGCTAAAGAGCAGCTAGTCGCAGCTTTAGTATCGAACCGAAATCAATGACTGGTATCGCTTTCGAGACACAAAATGTGATCACAGCTGAATTTTTACGTAAATGGCCCTTTAAGAACCCAGCAGACGCTCCCTCTTGAGCACGAGCTTCCTTTCTTTGATAGCACTTCGTTGCACGGGCAGCCAAAGATATGCGGAAGCATAGCCTCCTCTCTACTCGCAAAGCCTGACAGTTCGACGACGGAGCCACAGAGTGCCCGGTTGCAGATTTGGAGCTCGAGGACCTGGTAGCACCGAGCATCAAATAGCCATTGCTCGGGGAACCTGGACGTCAACGCACAGCTTTTGCAGCGGCGAGGACCCGAAACCCTCTTGTTCGCTCGGGAGAAGTGTGTTTCGGCGTCTCGCCGCAGCGGGGCGCCTGTTACGTGGCTCTCCCCTCATCCGTTGTCTGCAGCTCCATCTTTTCCATTTCGGCGGCCGCTTCTCGTGGCAATCTGCCAGGCTTTGTCGGTATATAGGAGGATATGACGGAAGACAAGGACCTCATGCTGGAGGCGGAGAATCTAAAAAAATTGGATTGTGTGTATGTTTATACAGCCTAAAACTGGGTATACTTAAAAGAAAGAAGAAAAAAAACGACACTATTAAAATTGCGAGTAAAAGAAATAAACGTGCAGGTGGTGTCACTACATTTATTTAGAACTGAAAATACGTTTAGCTCTGTCCTTTAGCCTAGGTTGGATGGGATTCGCTTTCATAGTAAGTTATAACTGGCTTTCGTACAAGTGGTGCATTTCGGCGCGTCATTTATCTTCGTTGTTATATTGTAAACCAGTAGTTTCGCCCCGTTTCTAACGTCGTGAAATAAAAAGTTGAACGAGTTGTGCTGTCGAACGGGAAAGAAATTGTGTGCCAGAAGGTTAAAACATAATATGAAACATAGAAATATTTACTGAACCATACACAATCATATTAAGTGTAGAATAAGAGGTACTTCAATAAAAGAAAAATGTTTACTTTTATTGGGCCAAACTGTGCATTATATTGTATAAAATATAAATATTTTGGTGGGAAATGCCTGGAAAATGTAGTTCCATATTATAGTTGGCTCGTCACGCATTTTGTAATAAGAAACGGTCAACTTACGTGGAGAAACTGGTTCACTTGGAGATATGGGTGTTGACCCGTCTTCGCGTCCATTCTTGCACTTTCTATGTTTAAAATAATAAAATAATGAATTATTATATAGCATAATTAGATTTGTAGTGAGCGTATCTTCAAAAGTCAGACACCGCAGGTAAAAATAAACAAGCTGACTCTGTGTTCTGACCGTTTTCTTATTTTGTGATGATAGCTAATAGATATAATTCGTCAATTTTGAAAGCGAGAATATAGTCACACGGATTTGTACCAGACTTAGAAATACACGATATCCCTCGCGCGTCATAAACGCGGTACTCGCATGAATTAGAATACAGGGGGATTCCTCCCCAGTGCGGGCACCATGCAAGAAAAACGTAAGACTCTTGTGATGTTGCGCTGTGGCGTCGGCTCCGTGGCGGAGAGTGAAACGGGGCATCTCGTGCGGTGCAAGCAATCGTGGTATGGCGGCGGATCAGTTTGTTTTTAATATATTTTGTTGTCAAACACATCGGTGCCAAGGGTAAAGCCCGCTAACTCCGTCTGCGGTGGCGTCAAGAGTGAAAATGGCTAAATTGCACCGATGTCGCTCACATTCCTCCTGTCGGCTCCTCGTCAGTGTGAACAACAAATTTGAGGTGGGATATGCACCCTCTGGCGGGGTTACGCCCATCCCTCCGCACATTCCACCCTCCCCCCCCCCCCCCCCCCCCCCCCCCCGCGTGACCACAGCAAATCCAAAGCGTTGTTCCGCGGTACTAAAAATTTGCCGTTTCTGTGGTTCGGATTTTGTTAATTTTAGTTTGCCTATCTAGGGACGTCCGACCAGTCCGATATCCGCTCGTCAACTGATTTATTCTAAATTCGCGCGACTGCAGTCTGCGCTTTGATTTTTTCTTCTAACCCGTGGCGCGCCGTCAATCTTACATTCATACTACCTGAATTTTGCTGTAGACCTTTTCGAAAATCTGTGTACCTTTTCCGTCTTAGAACAGTAAACATTTCACTATGTTTGCTATTTCGTCTTGTTCACGCGTTGCTTGATGGTCTTCCTCGAACACGGTTTCAATCTCAACGAGCCCATATATAGATCCAGGGTTTAGCGCTTTCAAGTTGATGATTTCAATTAAGAGATATTTTTACGTTTTGAACAGTTTTTTGGTGAAATATACGTACACTATATAGAAAACTTTACCGTACTTCCTAGCTAACATATTCGGCGTTTGCATTCAACAAAAGACCAACATGATCTTCGTTGTGCTCACCGTTTTCTGAGTTTTATAGAGTTTTAACCTAGTGGCGAGTGGTGGCGCTTAGGTCAGTGGTGTACTAGGGAGTTTGCAAATGTCATATGAAACTGAGACAATTGGAAAAGTAAGACATTTGGGCTATAATGCACTAAGATAAGCCCCCAACAAAGCACGTTGTTTTGTCAAAAAGACGTTTACAATATTATGAGAATGACGAAATTTGCATGGACAAATGCGAACTGCGGAAGTGTCGACCTGTTCGACTTCGCTTTAGCATCAGAGGGAACCTTGAATTTTACAATCTAGTTTGTAACTAGTTTATATGGTTGTAATAAAGAAATACTTATTTTTCGAAATTTCTTTGACTGATGCGCGCCCATTTTTTGGTTTATTACTCTCACTTTAAAAAAGAAAAAAAATCTCCACATTTACCACGGCCACTGGATGCTTTCCTCCTAATCAAGTGGTTTTACATTTACAAAAGCTAAAGCTGGTCAATCAGCGAATTGCGGAGGCCAGAAGATAACCGTACCATGTTTCGAAACACTGCATAATTCAGGTACTGGCAAAGTTCTGGCAACTCATATTTCATAGTTTTGAGAGTTTTTGCTGTGACATAAATTAAGAAAGTGCCCCGACACATTTACAAAAGTTAGCCTTTCCAAAAGAAAAAAAAACTAAATCCTATACTTCAAAAGAAAGCAAAGACAAAATTTTAAACTCAAAATACTGTATTATTGCAAAGATGGGAAGTTCCTTGTAAGAAGTAATTAAGGTAAATTACGACAGCAAAAATGTAATTAAATTACATTACAAATTACCGTAGAATAAATATAATGACGTCACATTAAAATTATTTTTTTAAAAGCAATAAAATTACTTTGACATTACTTTTCAATCCCTTCAGGCAGTATTTCGTGCATAATATATCTACAGTATATGTACCAGAATTTAGGTCTTTGTGTTTGCAGTGCAACAACCACCTGCGCCTCGAAGTGATTCATATTGAACAGTCGCCTGCTGACGCATACGACAGAAAAATTAAACATGACGTAATTTTTTTGTACACGTGACTCGAAGAAAGTGCGTTCACTGGTTGCGTTGTTTATTCAATGATGAAGGTCCTCAATCAAAAAATTTGATGTGATTCTGTCTCTCTGACTTTGTATAAATCGTAGTCCATGACAGTAAAATAAGCAGGGGAATGACAGTCCGTGCTCCTACTAGTTTTCACATGAAACTTTTCCCTTCTGACTCGAGCACAGTCTAATTAATTTTTCTCAAGAGCACTAGTTGAATCATTCCTAGGAATTTCTCTCGGGGAGAGTTGTTTCGAAACCCGCCAAAAAGACCAAGTTATTGTGTGTTGCTACACAAAGGGGCCGGATGCTTGCTCTGCCACGGGAGGAAAAGGATGTCGGAAACTTCCTGAAATGTATACTTTCAAAAGGAAAGAATGGCGATCTTTGCGTTTACCTATTCCTGACAAAAAAACAAAAACAAAAACAAAACAAAACAAAAAAAAAAACAAATAAAATTAAAGCGACAATCACACGACGTGGTGCGTTTAGACAGCGACAGGTGGGCTGCTTATTCGACGATATAAAGCTGACGATCGATGTGACATTGCGTTGATAGTGCGTCATACGATGATCTGATAATGAAATGACGTTGCGTTCATTTAGCGTCGATACGTTGTTGATGAATGAATGATTTTAGGGTTGTGAAGTGTTTTTCCGCCAAATGTAGCGGAGAGACTGAATTGGTGCATAGGCCACGTGACGTAAAGCTTTCTGCGAAATTTAGCGGGGAAACCAATTTGGCGCATAGATCAAAAAAGGTACATTTTTCCGCTAAATTTAGCGGGGAACCTGAATTTGTCTGTGGGTCCCATGACGTCAGGTCACGTGACATTGCTTGAGTGATGTCACGTCACGTGACGTCAAGTTTTGCGCTAAATTTAGCAGGGAAACTCAATTGATGTATAGGTTACGTGACGCAAATTATTGCGCTAAATTTAGCGGGGAACCTGAGTTTTCTGTAAATCCCGTGACGTCAGATCACGTGCTATTTTTCCCGCCGAATTCAGCGGATAAACTTTTTGTTTATGCTCACGCCGTCTCGAAAACCGGGGAACGGGCCACTAACAGTCACCGCTGTAAAAGGCAGAGAGGCATATCGCGAGCGGCACCTTCTTTGCTCACTTTTTGTCTTTTCCGAGAAAAAAGCAGTTTTACTTGTCAAGGTCAAGGCTAAACACGAAATATTCTGGATTCTTTAACAAGGAATTTGAGATAACTTGATTCCGGTCATTTGGTCTTTAGGTCGCAGTAATCGAAGCTTGACAGTTTGATCTTCCTTGACGAAAGAAAAAGAAGGCTGTAGAGGTGCTTGTTCTGTCGTCTTATCTTTCAAAGGGCGTTGACCTCAATGGTGGTGTACCCATAGAACTATTGTGGCATGGAAGAGTGCTGATGATGTGACGCTGTGAATCTGCCTTGGAGTTTTCGTGAGCCGTGGCCCTCTAGCGACGGCTTCAGATGAAAACCTTTCTTCATCTGATTTGCCTCCCGAGTCAGTCTTTGCGCGTCTATCGTGTTCCATACGAGGCTTTGCGTTCAGATGGCTTCGTTCAATAGTAGCGTTACTCTCACTCAATTTGTTTTTAACGAAAACGTATTATGCAAAATAACTTTTCTCATTTTATCGTAATGCTCACAAACTGATTGTGTTTCATTTGGGCAAGAGTAATTTCAAAAGTAACGGGTAATTTTTCCGAAATTACTGCCTGAAGATACTTTATCGCATTACTAAATCATTAGCCTAGAAATGTATTTAATGACATTCCTCATTACCACCAGAAGTAGTTGTCATTTTATTACAGTGATGTCATTACTGCCACCTCTGGTTTATTTTAAAACTCTGCCTCAGCGTAAGAGAGGGCGATTCTCAAGATAACTTGAAATTCCGAAAGTGCTGTACGATGTCCTAAGACCAATATTACACCCCCTCTTCAAATACCCCTCAAATGTGCCAAACTTCTTTAAAATGCTAATCGCCTCGGGTAATATCAAATAAAAAAAGGACACGCTTTTTTTATTGGTTTAAAGCGAAAAGAAAATACCATACATAACTGACAAATCCATCACTACTGTGAGATTTAACGTGCGTGACATAATATATTCATGAAAGTACACACTGTGGCAGAGTAGACGTTGAGCTCCACTTACACAATAAAATATCATGCCAGTGTATGAGTACATTTCACAGAATATATAAAGAAACTTGTTTATATTTCAATTGATTTTATTACAGTAATGATGATCCACGTACCTTAAGTAGTCCTTCACGGCTTCAAGTTTATCTGATGGGATGTTAAGCACATGTTCTCCTAAACCTGGGGTTATGCTGAAATATTAAGTTGACATCCCCTGGTTATTTAAAGAAACCCCTGAATTGCTTAAAGAACTGAATCAGCAGCAATAAATGTATAGCTCAAAATTGATTTTCAATTGACCGAAGTTTCATCCCCTGGGGTTCGTCGGAACACACTTAGTTCATGACATACTTGTCCTACATTAAAATAGTTCTTAAGGGTTCCATGAACGTCTTCTTTAAAAAAAAAATAGATACGGAGGGCTTTTCATTGAGATAATTTATTTTTGCCCCAAGAAAATAATTTGTATCATGCGGCTGTGGTTTCGTGGGCACGCTTTCTGAGCACACTGTAGATCCACGGCTTGTTTTACCCTTTTGACTTAGAACCTTGCCCTTTATTAACACGCATGTTTTCTAGCCAGTTATACCTTTTTGTTTAGCCTTATGTACGTGCACCCCTCTAAGGCCTACCAGCGTTTTGGGCCAAAATAAAGCACGTGATTGATTGAATGATTGATGAACGTCTGTAACGCTGCCAGCATGCCTCTCGTTCATGATGCTCGCTAGGACGTTCGTTATGACGCTCGTTCCTGACAATTTTCTCATAGAAGATGACCCATGAAACACATCCCATGTTAAAATAATAAATAAACAAACAAACACAAGGAAATCTTTTTTTCAAAACTCATCCAGACAGCTATTTAAACCGCAACAGCATTAAACGATGTGAAAGCGCAATAAACTATCGTTATTCTGACTTATACCCACCTGTTTATTATAATACTGAGCAGCATGTGGGATGAGTATCCTTCCTGGCCGGTAGCGTACGCTAGCAATATTGGTAAGCCGTTTTCACAGAGAGTGTCCTGGGCGTAGTAACCTAAAATATGGAGTTCAAGCCAATGCATGCTTCGGTAAATTACTTGGGCAACGTAATCTAATTACAATTATAGCTATTTCGCTCTAAAAGTGTCCAATTACAATTAAATGATTACTATAACACAAAAAGTAAATTCTTCACAATTATAAATTTGTGAGAGAAAGCAGTTAAACTACTTTGCATATGTTTTTTGATGACCTAGCCAAATTCAACAAAGATGATATGATAATTTTTTTTTTTTGCATTGAGAGGAATTTGTAGTTGGTTCCCGAGGATTTGTTACAGATTATTTTAGATTTGTCACACAATTTTTTTTTTAAATATAGCTTATGCGAGGTGAGTTGCGAGTACGATATATTTGTTTAGAATTCACTGCAAGAGTTGATTGGAGACTTAGACTCTTGACTATTTGGAAAATGGCTCAGAGGGCCCGTGATAAGATGCGCACAGTGCCCATCCAAACCAAATTATTTCAATTATTTTTATCAGTCCCTACCGTAGAAGGTTCTCTTGCTCTATGCGGAGAATCTTCTGTGACCCTCTGCACGTATGTCTTTGCCAGTCAGTGAGTTTAAAAAGAAAGCTCCAGCGTGACAAGAGTATAAAAGTTTGTTGTAATTTTAACTGAAATTTGAAATCAGTGCGGCTGAATAGTTGATAAACAACAACTTCAAACACTTTCACCAAACGTAATAATAATAATAATAATAATAATAATAATAATAATAATAATAATAATAAAATTAATACTATTAATAATTTAATTTTTATTTAGTGCCCTCAAACAGCTATGGAGCTTTTTGTGTGGTGCACTATAGTTTGTGTTTACAGCAACACAATTTAAAATGTATAGAAACATGGAAGAACACACGGGTACATGGTTGTTAGGCAGATACTACTTGTGCAGAAACTCTGAGTGAGATGAAAACACTTTTGCGAGGCTGGCTTAAGTTTACAAAAATCAAGAAAAAATATATAATTCGCCATTTCCTGTGTTATTAAAAACGAACTGCATTCGATATAATAGTGACAATTCACACATTTTATGGGGGTAAATTTTTAAGAAATGACGACCAGCGCTTTGTGGTACATGGAAGTGAATACTTACAAACAGGAATGGGCAGTATTTCAAATACAAGCATTTGAAATACGTATTTCAAATACTTTGTGTATTTTGCATTTGTATTTAATTACATATTGGGTAATGTATTTGACGTGTGTATTTAGATACTAAAACGTGGGTATTTCAAACACAATTTTAATTGAATACAATCTTGTGGGCGAAAATTCATCCCTCAAATTTATTGTCACTGTCCAGAGCAGGAAGAAAACTACGTTCTGCACCGACTGCAGTGTCGCTCAATGAAGCACAAGCGTTTAGTGACTTTGTGATTACGGTGCCAGTCCAGGGCAAGAATAGTGACGAAATCGACGTTCACAGGCAGACTGGCTAAATAAGTGCCTGTGACAACTTGTGATGCTTTCCAGCCTGATTTCCATCCAATTTTTTGCCTGGAACATTCTAAATGCGCGGGTCGTCCATATTTTCGTAATTGGTGCGAACTGCAACAATAAAAAAAAAAATCTCTAGCTAGTGCTGCGCGTCTTGGTCGTCTCGGTTCTTTGTTGGTCTATACCAAAATGTAATCGACAAAAAAAGCTGCTTGAAGCTCTGTACTTTTTTCACCTATTAGGTCCAAGCTGATTACATTTTTTTGTGATTATATTTCTATTACGTTACTAGAGCCTCGCACACTAAATCCCGAGTGTGCAATGCAAAATTAAAATGAGATACCCAGAAACCCGTTGCAGGTGCCCTGAAGTCGCTGACGCAAATTTTGAGGAATGTATTTGGAAAAAGTATTTGGAGAAGACCAAATACATTTGGTTGTATTTGTATCTTGTACTTAAATTCTTTTTGGGAAATGTAATTAGATTTGTAATTAAATACATTTTTGACGAAGTATTTTGTATTTGTATTTCGTACATATTTGCATGTATTTTGCCCATCCCGGCTTACAAATAAACTCTGAGATTTTGCAGTACCATGCACTACCTATGAAGAACATATTGTCTTATAGCCGTCCTTGTTGAAAGCCTTTCAAGTCTAAATAACGGTAGTAATGAGTCGTAACTAAAATCATTTCCGACTTATGTAGCGGTTGTAATTAATTCGATTGAAATTCGTCTGAACAATCTAAATCCTTGCAACTTTGGTTAAAGATGATGAGTATCAAGTAATATAACCAAATTCAAGTCCCGAGCGTTCGAGGCTGCAGAGCAGACGCACGGTAGATAATGGCGAAGTAAAAGAACGTGATAAACGAGCGATCATTCCCAACTTTCTTACCGCTCAACCGTCGATTTGAGAAACATGCTCAGTAAATAAAAAAGTACTATATATATATCAGTCTAGACGCCAAGATATTTCACATGCGATACTTGATCTGCCGTAATGTCCCCAAGCACATAAGGGAACAAGAAAAGGCTGCGTTTTTTTTTTATAAACATATCAATTTAATTTTTTGCTGAACTTAGTGACAAAGAGATTTTTCCACACCACTCTCAAATCCCACCAATATCAGTTTGGAATGAAGTACAGTCAGCATAGCTCTTAACATCTAAAAAAAGTTTGATATTGTCAGCAAAAAGAATGACATTCGAATGCTTGGCGCATGAAATTATATATTTTACAAAGGAAATAAATAACAGTGGTCCCAGATTTGACCTCTGGGCTATATTGAAAGTCGGTATAAAACACTTTGAAAATGAGTTTCAAACACGGACAGTGCTACTGCGTAAACTACAGTAGACATTGAACCAGTCACAAAGCTCAGGGCACACGCCATAGAAAGAAAAGCGTGCGAAGAAGTAAGAAAAAAAGAATGGCCCAATAAATTACAATTACACATGAGTTGATAGCGCAACTAAATTACTAAAGGTTATTTACTAACCCAGTATAAGTTAATGCCAAAGAAAGTTCACCACACAGGCTCTAAGTAAGTTATTATAGGAATACTACAACGAAATTTCGGCGCTTATTTCTTAGTCTATTCGTGCTCAAGGGAGCAGTCTCACATCCGACACCCCAATCTCTTGTCTCCTTGAATAGGACACGAAAAGTAATTTTAAAACGAATTAAACGATAAGTAAATGATACCTGGTGGATGTCGCTAAAGCCTCGTTTGTTATGCCTGTCTAGGAAATTTGACAGGTAGTGATGGTACCCGTCTCGCCTAGAACTATAGCCTCACTGGTGGCCCATGTGTGTAAGCATGTACAGCGTGCGCGTGAACGTATCTTTGACAAGCTTGTAATTGCCCGCACTTGCCCGCACAAGTAGAGACATTGCGGCGGCCAGATTCTCTGCTTGCAATAGTTTTGGTGACGTTAGCCTCGCCACAGCTTAGCTAGTCCTGAGACAGGTCACTCCACGATTCTGCCAGATGTCACGTGCTCTCCGCTGGCTGCTATAAGAGCGCGTGCCAGAGTGGGCCGTTTATAACGAAAAATACAGCCAGCAGGCTTAAAATTCAAACGTACAATGGTCAGAATACACAGAAAGAATAAAACACATACAGGACGAACACAGACGCGCACAGGTTTTTCATAGAACTGTGTGTGTCTGTGTTTGATCTTTGCCTGTTTCATTCTTTCTGTGTATTTTGTAGTTTTGAACGCACGCTGCTACGTGTGGAATTATCAGTTACGGATATTGTGGATCATATTCAGCCTTTTTCTGAATTCATTTTGAAAAACAGCGCGAATATCACACGGACAAGAAGGAGGAACACACAGGACGAGGCGCTGACTATCAACTGTCTATTCAGAACACATACATAGAAATTCACGCGAGGTCGGCTTCTTCTTTTTCCTCTCCCAGTCATTCGCCATTAAGCACGCAATATTGTAAATCATATCAAATTAAAACACACGAGTACATTAAAACACACCAGCACAGGTATAAGTCATCGCGTCTTCCTCTTTTCTTCTTTCTTGGATCTTCAATCTCGATCTTCAATTCTCAGGTCAACCCATGTCCAAACAAATTACCTCACTGTCCACTAGGCTAATGGATGGTTGGCTCACGCACCCGGGTTTCCGTTTTGCTATATGATAAGCTTCTACTAGCTCCCTCGATAGCTGATCCTTGTGTTTAAACAGCACTTTTGTGTCACTAAATTTTGGCTCACATCCACAATCACGGCAGTGGACAGCTAAATGGGAGTACGCGTTACCTTTTAATGAACTGTGGTGTTCGCGTAGACGAATGTTGAGGCAACGTCCCGTCTGGCCTATATATGAGTGACCGCATGAGAAAGGAATTTCATAAACGGTCCCCTGTGCACAGGACACGAACTTCATGCCATGCTTGACGCGACATCCAAACAGTTCTGGCTTACTTTTCCTGTCAGCACGCTTATTAACCACGTTTATAATCCTGCTCAGTTTGTTACGCGCTGAAAAAATTACGTTGACCCCATACCTCGAACCGACTCCCTTTAACCTGTGTGAAAGACGATGGATGTAAGGAATAATGGCGACGTTCTTTTTGTCTATCTTGGCTTTGTCTTTGTCAGGTTTACTGGAATCAATCTTGATATACCGAATCACCTTATCGCAGACTGAAGTAATAACTGAGTCGGGAAAATTAAAGTCTCTGAGTCTAGCGACCTGTACATGGGTCGCTAGACTTTTTTGGACATGGGTTGACCTGAGAATTGAAGATCGAGATTGAAGATCCAAGAAAGAAGAAAAGAGGAAGACGCGATGACCTATACCTGTGCTGGTGTGTTTTAATGCACTTGTGTGTTTTAATTTGATATGATTTACAATGTTGCGTGCTTAATGGCGAATGACTGGAAGAGGAAAAAGAAGAAGCCGACCTCGCGTGAATTCTGAATAGACAGTTGATAGTCAGCGCCTCGTCCTGTGTGTTCCTCCTTCTTGTCCGTGTGATATTCGCGCTGTTTTTCAAAATGAATTCATACCAACGCGCCCAACTTTCCATTCTAGTAAACTTTTTCTGAACACGACGGGTATATTTCAAATTCCGTTAAAGTATCCCTTTAAACGACTTCGTTAATGTACCTTAGTTTTATGCTCTACGCTATCCCCTAACACCTTAGTTCAGGGGTCATACACCTTTTGCTGCAGCGGGCCTAATCGGCGCAAATTAGGGACGAAGCGGGACGATCAAAAACCGAAAACGGGGGGGGGGGGGCATTGGTCGTTCCTAAACACATGATTGGATTTACGGTTTCTATATAAAAAATATCTTCACCGATGCATATATTATAAGGAACACTGCAATTAAAGTTGCTGCGAGCTTTCGTAGATATAAAAGTTTTGACTCAAGAACGCCAGAGGAAAAATGAACAAAGTCGTTCGCTTGAAATACATCCTACAACCTATTATCTGTTTGGGGATAAGATGATCAGCGAATTTTGTCTGGTAACCCTCCTAAACTTGTCCGAAAAGTCTGTCGTGAGCAAAATTAAAAAAAAAAAAAAATCTAGATGCCATTTGAGTATTTTGCAAAAATCAGGGAGTCCGACTCTGACCCTGCAACTCAGATACTATCATACAAATGCTTTCTTTATAGAACAGTGTGCTCTTTCCCTCTATAAATATTCTCCAAAAAGGAAAGTTTTATGGATTCTTTGTTGATAGAAATTTCTGGAGTTGGGAGACCCTGAGCTTCAGCTCGAAAAAGTTTGCATCTAAGACTTACTACCACGGGTTTCTTTTCCCTTTGTAATTTTACATTCCGGTCATTAGAGTGGTGCGAGATATCAGCCAACCACAACGCCAAGTCGCACAACCAATCGAAATCAGGAAAGCTTTCCGAGGAGGCTTTCTACAATGCTAATATTAAAACAATAAAACTTGCTTTTTTTGTAGTGCTAGACAACCCCATAATAAACCTCTGGGTGCGACAAAACTGTTGAAATGAAAGATGCATGCTACGAGTCATGATTCCGGAGGACATTCATGATGCATAAGACATACCTGAATTATTGATTCCCAGTGCATCATTGTGATGTACACCAATTGACGATAGATGAACGTGAATAATACGCTAACCCCTTGGCGTGCCATTTGGAAATGTATGCTTCACATTACTTCACATCTGCCACCAAATATACTTTTAACACCGTTGGTCCTGGAGTGTGTGTGTGTGTGTGTGTGTTTGTGTGTGTGAGAGAGAGGGGGGGCATTTTCTGGTAGTGTGCCGGCGGCCGCCTAGTTATTGCCTCGCGGGCTGCACCCAGCCAGCGGGCCGCGGGTGGCCGACCCCTGGTTGAACTTTTACATTACGTTTGAAGGAGGACGGGCACAATACCGTTATTGTACATTTTCCCCATAAAAGCTGCCATTATAATGCCAAGAACCCCCACGAAACTTTTTGCGAGACAAACATAATTTTTTTTTAAATTATAATTTAATAAATTTAAAACACTTATTTTATCCAGCCTATTTGCGCTTTCTAGATGTTTTGGGGCTTTCGAATGTCTATAAACGTTTAGTTTTAATATTATCTAAACAAATAAAATAGTATAACTTTCCTCCGCGTATAAATTATTTTCGGTATAGTATAGGTTTTGGTAGTTTACAGATGATTATTTTAATATTTACGATTTGTTAAAACCATTATTTTATCATATACCAGGTGAGACGGAATGCATACTAATCTGGGGCGAACCTGGATTTCTTATTTAATAAGAAATTAACTATTAAATTATATTTAGCTATTAGTATTTGGGGCAGTAAACAAAATCTATCCAGATAAAACGTTAGCACAAAAACACATTTATCGTTTACAATGAGAACATTCACAAAAATGAATGTAAATTAGATATAACATAAAAGAAGTTAGCATAGAATAGCAATTATATTTAATAATGAGAAGATTTACGAGAAAATTCAAGTACATTAGAAATAATATTGTTGCAGTGACCCCTAAAACGTAATTCCCATTTATTTACCTCAATAACCGAAGCCCTTTCAATTACTTTTCAGGAAGTTTTAAGCGACTTCTTAAAACAAAATAACTTGAAATGCACTCACCATACCCATGTCTCACAGTAGACCAGTCGTCAATGTTTTTAATAAAATAAATAAATAAATAAATAAATACATAAATAAATATATATTGTTAGGGTGATGCTGTCGGCAGCAGAAGGGACAGGACAGTACACGATGACAGAACACACATACGATTTATGGAGGCCGAGCCGGGCCGTGGGGCCTGGCGCGAGATAATCGTGCGCGCCACTGCCCCGTCGTCGTCTTCACCTTCCTAACAGTACTCCCTTCGACGAAAACGGCCGACCCGGCCGGTGAATAAATGAACACATGAAGCACACTTAGAAAGCCACATACACACAGAAGAAGAAAGGACGGCTGCCGACAGCGAGGGTGAGGATGAAGATGGAGACGTTGAGTTTCGGCCTCTTCCGCAGCGTCGCAGACCTCTGCACCAGCCACACGACGGCACGGTCCGGGCTGGGGGACTCAAGTCACAGAGAAGCGTCGGAACGTCGGGGGCTGGGGATAGGGGCGGGGGATCGTCTGTCGGCTTCGTCTGGTGCGGCTTCGTCTGATTTGGCTTGTCATGGCGTCTGGGCGGGGGCTGGGCGATGGGGCCATGGGCTGGTGTTTGGTCTGCTGCTGCGGATGACTGCCTCAACGAGGCGGGTTCACAGGATCATAGCGGCGCCGATGTTCAATGAAGGAGATGAGGGTGGCTCCGCACCTCCACCATACTGTTAGGGTGATGCTGTCGGCAGCAGAAGGGACAGGACAGTACACGATGACAGAACACACATACGATTTATGGAGGCCGAGCCGGGCCGTGGGGCCTGGCGCGAGATAATCGTGCGCGCCACTGCCCCGTCGTCGTCTTCACCTTCCTAACAATATATATATATATATTGTAAAGTTTAAATGTGGAAATAGGAAAAAAAAATGTAGCGGTGTTTTCTTACTTTGTTACGAGGCAAATAATATCCGAATGGGGCCTGCCCTTAAAATAGTCAGTAAGTGTTGAAATCGCTTCTTCCGGCCAAGGATAGGATCCTCCAACTTGTTCTAACCTTGAATTTAGGTCACTCCGGTCCGCCTAAACGTTAAAGAAATTATAATTTTAGAGGCATCCATACACATTTGAAGGAATGATCTAGACATAACAAACGATGAAAAAACAGATCACTTGCAAACTACTACAAACCGCCTCTAATTTCCGAGATATTCATGTTTGTTTTATATAACTTTTCACTCACGTAGCAGTGTTGAGAAAAATTAAACGAAGTTACTTCAGACTGCTTACGTGTAGAAATGGGAAAGCATTCCTACACGGCAGCACATTCCTACAAGCAGCGCGCCGCGTCTTCCTTTTTCAGACGGCGCTCCGGCGGTGACCTCACGCACTCGCACTGCGCAGGTGCGGCAGCCCCGCCGGCTCCACGGCTTCCTTGACGATGCACCTGCGTTGCTGTGCTTTTTGCCAATGGGACTTTAGATGCCGTTTCGTTCAGCCAATGGGAACTTTGATGCCGTTTTTTGCTGCCACAGACAACGCCGGCTTCGCTTCATGGGACAGTTCATGCTTTCGCATTAATAAGTGGTGTGAATGCAACCTGTTGGTGCTACAAACTATTGGGCGTTTGTTAGACGCATTGAGAAAACACTTTTTAACTTATTTTAGACAAATATTCGTTGCAGTGAACTGCAACGAATATATTTACAATCATGGCAACGCACTTAATAAAATAGTCAAATTAAAGTACAAAAATACGACGACTGTACGTGGCTGTCATTGCCCTTCCTTTTCGTATTGCTTTATTAAAAATGGAATGTTTTTTTTTAATTTGCGTTTATTAGTACGGTATTAAAAAAGGGGAATTTTAGCCACACCTAGACTTAATTTATTGATTCATGCGTTTGTTTATTAGTTTGTGCTCATGAACCGTTGATGTCTTGATAATGATGATATGTAAATAAGATTACAGTAAGATTTTAAAGGATACAACTTAAATGATAAAAGAAATGAGTTAAAAACAAAATCTTGTCCAGAACACACTGCCAGGCACAGCGAATGTCAGGGATGGAAAAACAGTCATAATAATTATTTAAATAATAAAATAAATTTAGTAATATAACTTTTTAATTAGAGCAGTTGGGTGGCCAGTAGCAATGACAGGTTTGATGATGCAAACAAAAACGATCCCATACCCGTTTATAAAAAAAAATGTCCTCATAAGCACTGCAGCGCACATATACGAAGTGTTTCTTATTCTTCTGCGGAAACCAGATACACAACGTATAAAAAACGCAATCATGCGAAAAAAGAGAAAAAAAAAGAAAAAAAAACTTTAGCTGGTGACGTGCGGAAACGTAGCCGAATCTACGGCGAACCGTTCAACTTGTCGGCCCTATTTTACCGTGGAGCTCGGCATGCTGCAGGGGCTTGCTTTTGCCTCGTCACTCGGTGCAGAAAAAAAAAAAGAAAGAGAATGAAAAGGGAATTGCTCCTTGAAAAATGCGCAGTGCCCACACCCGGTAAGGGAACTGCGCGCGTGCAGAAACCAGATTCGAATGAGGTAATGCTTCTGCGGATGCCCACTTCCGAGAGCAGCGCCACTGTAGGTGCCTGAATTAAGAGAGTTGAGTTGGTGTATTCGCCATTTTTCGTTTGGCAACGAACTCAGTGGCGTCCTCTATTGGGTATAGACTCGGCCGGCCCACTTCCGATTTATGTATATTTCATAATTTTTTACTCATCGTTCTTTTATCATAATAGTGAATTAGGTCGGAGATTCCTGTAAGTTGTCATTTGCAGAATATAGCCTGTATATTTGATTTCGAAAATCTTGCAAAACCCGCCGTCTAGTTCAAAATCGGAAGTAATTGATGGCTATTCGCACATTTGCGCCACCACGTTTAACTCAAGCGAGAAAGAGCGAATAAAAAAAAGGAGTCCACTGACAACAGTTGTTTGTTTTTTGTGCACCGAGGGACGCGGCAAATGCAAGTGCCTGTTGCGTGGAGAGATCCACGGTAAAATGACGCAGGCGGTTTGAACTGCACACCGTGGAATAGGTGCATTTTTTTGGTCGTCATGACGGAATTTCCATTCGCACGTGCTTTCTTGCGCCTCTCAGGCGTTTCGTTTCGGGTTTCTGCAGAAAAAGCTGGAGATATTCTGGTTCTGCAGTGCTTACGAGAAGGACTTGTATGGCCACCAAACTCCGCTAATAAAAAAGTTAATTTGTAATTTTTTGTTGATTGGTTAGCTATTAGAATATATTTTGCAATACTTGACGTCCCGCGTGGCTGGCAGTTTGTTCCACCAAAGAGCTCCTTTTATTAGGAAGCCTCACTTTTAGGAATTTTCGAGACTTCTCCTAAACACCAGGCATATGCCAAAATCACGCGTGCGCTGGACCCTGCATAATGGGAAATTAATAAGCTGTTAACAATAATTTTTTAGGTTTAAACATCCTAGATAAAGGAAAGTTTTTGGAGCAAGAATGAACATGTTTATACAACATCAGTCATGCACTGATTTAAAATTCATATTTCACAGCTCCTCATAGATAAGATAGGCCAAAACAGTTTGATATCATCTGGATATTTTAGTATACCTGAATGCTCAACACCTGTTTGTAGATTTCTTAAGACAATATTAAAAACCATTTGTCCAAGTATAGACCCTTCGGCACCCCAGAAAGGGAAACATAAGGTCAAGAGTACCGTCCGTGAACACGCCTGAAATTTCTCTGATTAAATAATAACTCCAGAAACAATCTACAAAGCGCACTACTCATACCATAAGATCGGAATTTGTGTATAAGTTACAGATGATTAACCAAGTCAAAGCCTTTGAAAGATCCAAATATACTGTATCCACCTGACCACCCTGACAAACAACAGGGGAACAAAGTTCAAAAATGACACTGAATTTGCGTCTACGGATCTCCCACTCACAAATAAATGTTGTATAGGACTAATATCGTTAAAAAAATTTCAACATATGTTTAATCAAAACAATTTTATAAAATTTGGCGAACTGGCACAAGAAAGATACGTGTCTATGGTTTTTTAATCGTTCCGTTTTTACAATCTTATTTAAAATAAAAGCATATTGAGCAAATTCCGAAATTGAGTAAAATATTGAGCTCTATATTGAGCGCACTGGTGTTTTTTTCTGCATTCGTTAAGTCAATTGCTCTTGCTTCTAAAACGGCTGGTAGTATAATTTATAACTCTAGGATAACGATGTGAATACTTACGAGGTATGTGATTGTGTAGCTGAGATTAAGAGTGAATTGAAAAACATTTTGGAAATCAACCATTGCCTGAAAAAGGAACCAGGCAGAGTAAAAATTAAATGCTGAATCGATATAAACATTACCAGGTAATACCGGACTTTATGAAATGAATGAGAAAGTGCTTTATGAAGTGAATGAGAAAGTCTCATTATTTTAATATTGAGACGGAAACATTAGTGAAAGGTATATGTCTGGTTGGGACGAACAACAGTGTAAAAAAAAGTACTCTAACCAAAGCACTAAAAAAGCAACTACGGTGTCTTCTTCAAGGGTGGCTGAATAGACCTATTGCCAAATTACCCAAGCATCAACGAGAATGTCGGGAATGTAAGTCTACGCGCCGCGCCCGATGGCCTTCCCGTATAAAATATTCGAAGTAAACAACCAAAATGAAATATTGCCGAAAACGTATGCAAGATGCCACTCGTGTTAGGCGTCTACTTTAGAACAGTAACTGCTGAAGACGGAAGCACGTGGAGCACTTGTTACTAAACTTGTAGTACGCTCCCTGGTATTTGGGTAATTTACCAAATGTTCTATTGAACGGGGCAACAGCACGGAGCAGCAGCAACAGCTCACGTCTTATGTAAATGACCAGCTGAACGGAAATAAACCTAAACATTACTAGAAAGGGAACTAAACATACTCGCGAAGAAAAAAGAAAGATGTAAACCCCTGGACTAACAACATTGTTTTTTTTATCTTCCTCTGCTACCATAAAACCACTATGTGCGAAAGTTTCTTTTTTTTTTTTCTTTACTTTCTTCACCTCAATTCGTCCCGACGTGGACTTCTCAGAATTAAGTTTTTTTTCTTGCAGCGTGAGGAAATGCCTCACGCGACAACTGCGTCAGCGTGCGCTAACGCAGCTGTCGCGTTTCTCTTCAGTGGCAAGCGCCTCAAGGGTTTCACATGCAAGTTGTGTCTTGTTTCTTGCTAGGATGTTCTCGTTGTGGAACCTTGCAGAACATTTGCAAGCATGACAAATGATAGGTAAATGTCCACCTGCTGACATTTTTTTCTACCTGGGCAGCGTGCTCTCCCGTGGGATCATTAATGCATCACCCGGTTTGCCCAATATAGACTCGGCCGCAAATTCACTGAATGTGGTTCACCACCTCTTTCTCGCACGTGGCGTAGTTTGACTTGTGAGCTGTGTCACAACCTTGTGCGTTGTTGCTTCTTCGCTCCTGGTTCATCTTGCGGCACGTGGAATAAACCTTATTCGGTGCGGAGCATACCACTTGTACGCCTTTGCCGCCCCGCAACCTTTTTCAATATATGGGCCATCTATGGAACTATGACCATTTCCGTAAGCATCATGAACCAACTAGCTCAGATTCAACTACTAAGAAATGCTCGCAGCTCAGCGCAGGGAGGGCACGGGAGTAACCTAGCATGTCGTGTTACGCGAATCATGTGACAACAATGAGTGCGCTGCTAGCGCCGCCTGGTGATTTTGCCTGAAAAATCACAAAAGAAGCAAACCATTTCAACGGCAATGACGTAGTTAGCACCATGTTGGCTGCGCCAACATTGCGCTAACTACGTTATCTTTTACATAGAACAAGCTAACTACGTAAACTTCTAGATAGAATAAGATTACAATTGGGCGAACAGCATAAAAGTTTTACGCGAATCGAATTTGATTCGAGTGGTGCCGAATAGTTATCAAGAAATCGATTGTGGAATTAAATACGAATACGTACGAAAGCTTTATTTGCAATTCCTACAAGTCCTCGTTGTCCAAGATAGCGGGGAAATTTTCCCGTTAAATTTAGCGGGAAAACTTTCCGCTAAATATAGTGGGGAAATATTTCCGCTAAATGTAGCGGGGAAATAATTCCGCTAAATCTTGTGGAGAAATGTTTTTGCTAAACTTAGCGGGGAAAATTTTCCGCTAGATATAGCAAAGAAATTTTCACTAAATTTAGCGAAAAATTAAGCGAAAATGTTTCCCTAAATGCGAAGGGAGAAGGAGAGCAGGAGGGGAGGGTACGGAAAGAAAGCAGGGGCATACCCTCCCCTACGTACCCTTCCCTTTTCCTCGTCAAGAGTTGCGCTCTAATTCGGCATTACAGAGCATTGTAAACATCTTTCATTTTTGGTTGGAGAAATCATCCGCTGACTTATTTCTGCACTTGTGTGCATAAAACTCCACTGCTTACAAATCGTGCGAAAATCGCTAGGGACCTATAGCTTCTTGCTCTTTTTCAGTTTGGCACCTTATATACCCGGTACGTGAGAGTCAGTAAGATCAAGAATACTTTAATAGTAAAATGTAAACCATAGTTCATACTTATTTAAGTCTTTAGCATAGCACTGAAATGACAAAATGGTGAGTGAGGTAAGTACAGAGGCTGATTTCTCTTGCTTATCGATCATGTGTGCGATCAGAAAAAAAAGGCGGCACTTTACACCTCTTTTGCGGATGCGCATGAGTTTGGGTGTGACGACCAGACTTTTTTCCAGAAAGGGGGTGATTTCAAAAAAAATTCTACAGCCTTTTCTTCAATATTGAAGACCACAGACAAGGCGGCAAATGAAATACGAAAAATACACAAGCACGAGCCACGACGGCAAGAATAGAGGTTTGTTTTTGTCCTTAAAAGTCTTACAACGGGTCTTACAACAAGAAGCAGGAGGTGAGTTTCCCAGCGGGTACGTATATTTAAAACTGAAGTTTGGAAGAATTCTATCCGCTCAAATAGAGGCGACTAGCCGGTCTTCTGGCTTACCGGAAACCAGTCTTTGACACCCAATTTACTTTCCGTTTCAACAAAGCTAAATGTACAATAATGTTTTGCCCATTGTCTTTAGAGACAACACTAACCCCTTGTGCATTGCTTTCTCACTAACAAAAAGAGTCCATTTGCAAAAGTTCATCGAGCAACATTGGCGGCCGCCATATTTTGGACATTGCTTTCTGCGCGAAACAGGTGATTGGATTAGAGTTCACGTCGTGAGAGCTGTAGTCGAATATATTTTGACCAGAGTACGTGCCGAACGCTGGCACAGCACTCGTGTCCAATGCCTGCTCATGTGCATGCCCAATATATGATGGCCATGGAGAATCGACGCAACAATTATACTGGACGGTGCGCGTTTTGAAAAGGATCTAGTGAGCGGAATCGCTCTCGAAAGTTATCGGAAATAAGAGCGTTCTTAATAATCAGCGATGTTTGACTTTTTATACAAAAAAAAGCGAAAGTAAGCTGCAGGAACGCGCATTAAAAAATGTTTTATTGTTGTGTAACTTTTTCGTGTGATATAGATCAGCAGCACGTGCATAGTATATGCCATGCATTGACCTTCCCACCAAAAGGTTTAAAGCAAAACTAGGTATATTAGGAAATTATGAAATGAGATATATCTGATGAAGTATATTTACCTTCTGCGTGACGTATGATAACCAGGCTTCCACTTGCTTCTTATCATCAGTAATGAGGTTATCATCAACGATATAATTCATCGTAACTGTAGCTACATCTGTAATATTCAAGATAGGTACGTTTATTAAGAAACAATTTAATAACTTATTTGATATACCTGCTATGGCTCACATATGGGAGCAGAAGTATTCTTTAAATGAATAAATATGTTTACATATCAAAAACCAAGAACATACAAACACGCGTCACTCGTTTAAGCACATGATGCGGTCACAAGTGCAGTTTCATTAAATTTAGTCATAACACTCACAGTGTAGCTAATGATATAGGGCCGTGACATCCTCGAAGATTGCTTGATGGGTCGAAAACTTGATTACACCAGCGCGAGCAAATCACTGAATTCCTCATGTGCTTTGGATGACGGGACGGCCTTCACGTATCAGTGCATTTTTTATCATAAGTATTTTATTTTGATTAGCTGGCGCGTAATAAAAACGAGTGATTGATCATTCACATAAGAAAAAAGCAGTAAAAATGCGCGATGAGTTTTTTTCTTTTTTTTTATGACGTGGTATATTGCCGCGCCCGCAGCTGGCCAAGTACGCATCGCGGCCGTGGCCTAACGGTTATCGTGCTTGCTTCACACGCGAAGAGTCAGGTTTCGATTCCTGGGTCTTTTATTTATTCTTGTAATGTAAGGGCTGTTTATACTCCGACGTTGAGCGCAGTGACCGCAGCGTAGCGCAGGACGCGCGTTTTTTATTGGCACTCGAACTCGGTTTCTGCGACCAATCAGTATCTGTGTGCGCGCCGCGCTCGTCGACGTTACGTTGGAGTGTGAACGTAGTTTTAGTGTTATGGTACATTCGAGAACGCTGTTGCTTGTTCGAGGTACGAATGCTCTAGTCGCCGTACTTTCTAGGTCGATCGTTTTAGAAGCCAGCGCGTGTACATAAGGGGCTCCGCGTGGCAATCCGCAGTCAGTCTCGCCCCAGCATTCGACTCTGCTGTTACGCCGACTTCGACGCCCGCGACGCTCTGCTGTTATCTTCTGTTTCCTTTTTATTTTGGGCACAAGTTCGCCCCATTAAACGTTTCAGTTTCATCAGTTATTCCCTGTTCGTCACATCGTCATTCGTGACAATATTGTGATTATGCTGCATGAGGTTTCTCTACAGTAGTATTTGCGTTAAATAAGCATTTAGTTTGAGCTAGACTATAGCTCACGTATTAAATACGGCATCTGAACACGTCGAGAAGTAGTTGCTTGTTTGGAGATCCGACTGCCTTTAGAAGTCTTGCTTCTTAGCAGCTTCATTAAGATCAGACAATATACGCTAATTAGAATTTAATTTTTTAAATAATTTCAATAAAAAAATTTGCGGTATCACTGTTACTGATGAGATTCAGTGAGCAGCGGAAGGTACAACTTTGCCATCTCTTATAAATAGGAAACTGTTGTCGCTAAAAACTAAATAAATGTGAATGAATTGCACTTTTTTATATTTCTACGACAATGTACCCATATGGAAAATATTGACACTGCTGTCTCCCTCTATGACAAGGTTGTACATTTCTAGGTCAGCTTGAGCTCTGTTAAACGCGACAAATATTGGTTTGCTTTTTTTTCTCACTTATATTTGGGTCAATCGCCTGATACTAAGTATCAGTGTTATTTCTTGCCTGAAAAGACTGTGCTCCTGCATTTCTGATAGACTTGCTTCTTTACGCTATAAACTGAAGGGTTCTGAAGGATCGGTTATGTTAAGCATGATTTCAGCTAACAGCGCCCTTCCTTGTTTATCACTGCCACTAATCAGTAATATTGCTTCCCTGATATTCCATGCCCGCCGAGAAAGAGCACTTCTCTACGTTTCTGAGCCTTAGGTTTCACTTTTTTTTTGATATGTGTGAAAATCCTTGATAGACATAACTTACAGATATATTGATATAGTTTGTGATAATTTTGAGTCGGCACCAAAATGGATGAGAGCGAACGATCGATTGCCGGGCCAACGAAAGGGCGACCCGTGGTACTGAAGTTGCGCAAATATAACGGAAACAAGATTGCCTGATGCGAATGCCATCTTTGTAGCACAGGGGGAGGTCGACAGACGTCAACTGTTCTCAAACCTCGTTTCCAAAACAGCTACTACAATTTCTCAGCTCGCAGTCCCACTGCGCATACATCATGTAAAATACATGGCATTCGCTGCAGACATGATAATCGAAATATCTACGGACACATGTCAAACATGTTTGAAACATGTTTTTTTTTTACTCGTACGCATGCTTCGAACATTTCTGCACACAGTTTTTGACCAGTGTGACTGCAGTTTCAGGCTTTTGTCAGTAATGCTGAGCTGAGGATATGGGGTCTTCTTTTACTTACTTGTAGAGGGTAATATCTTTTTTTCTGTACTGTGTTACTGTCATTGGTGGTTTTTAAAACGTTGAACTGGAAAGGTCTATAGATGAGTGTATTGATCCAGTAATATTCTGTGTGCATATAATTACAGTCTTCCGAAGCCTCCCCAGGATTGAAAGGTGAAATCGGTTCTACCACTTTCGCTCCTTTGGTGTATTTGAGAAAACGCAGCACCCTGTGCGGCAATTCTACCGTTCCGGCTATCGATCACTCGCGTTAACTCCTCCTTGTGCAGACTTAACTTACTGTGAGGTCCCTGGTGAGGCATATACAAAGTTTGTGAATTCAATCCCCAAACTGCCGACAATGCGCATTTTACGCGGCTAGTAATGTTACAAAACGTGCATTTGTTGATGAATTAGGTCGTTGTGTAACCACCTGCAAAGTTTGAGCCTGTTCATAGGTACCTTCTGGTCAGTACGGCGTTTGACATGAGATGTCGTGCGCATCGTCTTGATAACCTCACAACCTATACACAGTTCCACTAGGAACTGTGTATAAAGTGTGAGGCTACCTCCCGATTTGTCGTCTGCTAGCAGAGTCGTGCGCGTTCCGTCTCTCTCGTTTTACCCCGCCGAACCTGCTGAACTTCCCGGATGCGCGGAGAGGGCGCTGCGGTCTAACAAAATGGCACCGCCCTGAGAGCGCTAAATGGAATGGTCTATATAGCGATTGTGGTATTATGTAAAAAAAAGGGGATCGTTCAGCTTGGAAATTGTACTCCTCAGAACTCTCCTGTGCTGACGTCATGCTTCGTTAAGTTAAAGAGTACCGTAAAACCACGTTTTTAATGCGTTAAAAATATCGAAAGCACGGAGATAGCAGATCTTTCACGACGTTCAAAGAAGTATTAGGCAATTTGTGCCAGCGATATGTAGCGATATACGAGCGCGGCTACCGAATAAAATAAGGAGTATACTAAACGAATATTAGGTGTATATTTTACTTATCTTAAATATATACTAAGTTTTCTAAAAAAAATACCTTAAGTGCATGTTTGGTTTCGTAGAATAGAAAAATTAATATCTTTAAAATAATTCTGTTTTCGCCAAGCATCTTGCCTAGTTAACGTCTTTTTGCCTTCAATTATAACATACAAACTATTGCGTGACATTTTACAATAGTTTACTTGCCACAAATTGTTTTAATCATATCCCGTACTATACTTCTAAGAAATGTTATGGCACTCCTGCTCTTACTAATCGGCTTGTTCTGAATTTGTTAGAGCAAGCAATAATTTTGACTAAAAAGTAAAACTTGCTTAAAATGTTCGTATTTTTGAGAAAGAAAAACCTTTATACCATCATGACAGCATTAGAAATAGTACGTTTTTCTTTTAACAAAAATCTTGGACTTACCGTCGTCTTGGTCTCTTGAGCTTAGATTAATTTTCGGCACGCATTCCACGCCAGTGCACATCAACCATAGCCATAGGCACAAACCCCAGCACAGTGGACTCATTGATAGCCTCCTACAAGTCAAAATCTTCCCGTTCTTCCAAAATTGGTTGTTATATAGGGAAGGATACCGGACTTCCGCGTAGCTTTAGGCGAGGGTCATAAGAACGTAAATATTTGCGCATAAAAAGTATTGCATTTGTGTTAAACTTCATTTAAAGGCCGTTTTCTAAAGGGCAATAGTAAATAAAATATAGCAAAGTGAATTTTATTCTGCGATGTTTTTTTACTTTCTATTTCCGCTTCTGTTCAAGTCACATGAGATTGGTATTCTGTATTGCTCATTTTTTTTCTTCAAACATTTGACCTTTTCACATAAGGAAGAGCCCTATAACCATTGTCTAAACACATATTAATAATTTTCACGGTTTGCGCTACACGCAAAGGATGCATGTGCCTTTCAAAATAGCAGCCTCTGTGCGGAAGGCTGCCACTTTTCCAGACGAATTTCGTTCGGTGCGACCTTCTGTCGCTCATTTCAAGTTGTATTTAAATATCCCACTGAAATTAGGCACACGATTTAACGTAAATCAATATCATTTTGAAAACACGTGGAAAAAGTACCGCATGACGCCCAGTTGACGTCACTGCCCCCTGTCAATGAACCTAGAGTGGTAAATACATCCGTGGTTTTCTCATCAGCCAGCTGTTTCGGTTCCGCTTGAAAAGCAACGACAACAACGATTGGGATGAATTGGCATTGAATTGGTGTGATGACTCAGTGATGGCTCAAAGCCATCATAACCAAGCAATGCCATTGCCCTGAGAGTATCACGTGATTTTTGGGAAGGGCGAAGTGACGGGAGGGGCACGCAGCGCTTTGTCTCGTCGGTTACTTTTTACTTTGTCTTCGTCTTTGCGCTGTTTTGCTTTTAGTTACATTTAGTCACGTGATTTATAAGTTCACAGCGCTGGATTAGCTTGTATGGTTGGGATCGTCCGCTTCGGTCGATCTTACGATGAAACGGAGCATATATGCTGTTTCGACGTTGGGTAACGACGCCAAGCACATGTGTTACTTTCTAAGAGCAGTGGTTGCACTCGGGAGCAGATCAGTTCTTTTCTGTTTGATTCAAACCTCCGCCTCCAATCGACTGTGGTTAAACATCTTCTGTAAGCAACGAAAATATGCAATATTGGAAGGAAGTAAATGATAAAAAAACTTATTGTCAAAGAAGGTGTTTTTGTAACATATCAATACCTGCTAATATATATATATATATATATATATATATATATATATATATATATATATATATATATATATATATATATATATATATATATATATATATATATATGTGTGTGTGTGTGTGTGTGTGTGTAAAGCAATGTTTGACTCCTTAAAGTATCATTTTTAATTTCCACATTATTCGGCCCTGCTTCGTTCGAAACTTTACGCATGCTTGATTATGCCGACAAAGACCGCGGGATGAAGAATTTATGAGATACCATGAGCACAAGGTGTGTGGGTTGCGCTTTTTCTCTATGTATGACAGGGAAAGGGGATGACGCGTGTGGGGCTAGCTCAACCACTCACTTCATGTGTATGGTAGCATAGCACATTCTGTGTCCTTCGGTCTGTCAGCGTGACCCGGCTAGTGCAAATATTTGACTATATAAGCCAACTGTAAGCTTTTGGTTACATATATCTGTGTTTTTCTTCAATATTGAATCTGTGCCTTTGATGGCCGACGACAATGAATATGTTTGGTACGCTAATTTGAATGGCACGTGATTACGGAATAGGAAGTGAGCGCGCTTCAAACCAGCCAATTCTTCGCCTACCTTTTTGGACGGAAAGACACGAATTTCGAGCCGTAAATTGTGTTCTGGGGAGTTGGACTCTTATAGATGACATTTAAATAAAACCCTCGGCGATCAGAAATATCCTACCGGTTCTTATCATCGGAAATAGTTTTGTTATGTCGTCTAGGAACACTCCTTACAAAATTGGCGTTTATAAATGTAATAGCCGTGTTAGCATGCTACATCTTGTATTTCAAATCAATTTTTTATTTACACAGTTGTGAAATTCACCCACCCTACCCTTTCCTGCAAATCGGCTCTAAGTATTCACCTTAATGTCTTCACATATTCACAATTTATTTAAATAACTTTATTAATTTAAGAATATTTTTGTTTATTTCTTAAGATGCATCTTACGACACGTGGTATTGTCCTCCTCACACAGTTCAAGAATCCACCTGTGTTGATTAAATATTTATTTAGTTTATTAAATATTTGTCTTGTGAAGGCCTTAGGGCAGTGTATTACATAAAACGATGGTTGTTTGAAGACATATAAAGCGAATTAAACGTAGACCCAGTAAATACAAAGCAAACACACTATACAAATAAGAATAGAGGCACATGTAACAGAGTAATGCTTGTAGCGAAAAATTCCAAATGTTCGCTTCTGCTCAGCTTTTCAATATATGCGTGAATATTTCTAGCTGTGACGGCATTGCCGGCAAACAATCAGGGATGTCTCTGTTACTCTTGAAGAGTAGTGTACCAAATAATTATGTAGCGCGATCTTAAAAAAAAAATAGCAATTTACAGCTTAGACAGTTTCTTTGATTGTTCTCGTCGGTATTTTGGCCATAATATTATGGTAACTCCTGGTCACTTCAGATTTCCTGTTACAGTTTTCAGTGGGGACGTGAAGGTATGGCTGAAAAGAACGCATAGTTCAGCTTCTCTGGTAGCGGTTTCGCCGCCTGGGGTCTGATTGTGGTCACTGCGAGAACGACAGGGAAATGTAATTAGCTTCTCGCGGAGTGAGGCCAAAAGGAGCTCGCAGTTGTTTTGTCTGTTAACGTGCGCGAAGAACGCGGTTCGTCTGCTAGGAAGCGCCGTTTTCCAACTAAAATTAAAGCAAAAAGAAAGAAGAAAACGCCGTACGCGACCTGCTAAGAAACTGGAGAAAAGGTTAATCGTCTGCTACAAACCGAGCGCCGATGCGAAGTGAGATCAAAAGCAAGATGTAATTGCTATCGTGTGCTATTTCACATTGGATGCCATTGACAACGCACGCTTCGTTGGTTAACCTCAAGTTGGTCTGGTGCCTCACACAAGCTGAAATCGACCGGTGAGTAAAGGAGTACTAATGAGAATCATTTTAGGGGAGGCCCCACGGCCTCTTTTTCAATTCGCAGTTGGTGAGATGTTCCCACTACAATATTGCCTTATTGCGAACTCGCTAATGGGCCAAAAATGTCTCACTGGTTGATTACGCGCAAGTTGTGGTGCCACATCCAATCAGCAGCCCAGAAAGCTATCGCTTTCACTTTCGCCGAAATCAGAACCCCGGAGAGTCCACCGAGTGCGCCCCGGTGTCTCATCTCTATCTTTTGGCGGGAAGCGACGTCGACTTGCCGGCCACTGCGCCTGGCTTCTTGGAACGGGAGGCGAACCAGTCGCTTGTGGTTATGAGCCATTGATGTTTCGCGGACCCCTTGTGGATCGGCGGAGATTATGGAGGACCTCGTTCGTGGTGAGGGGAAGGGAATGTATAGGTTAAATATGATAATGATTTAATAAATGAATATAAGTAAAAGTTAATGTAAAGTAAACGTTTTTTTTTTTTTTTTTTTTTTTTACATATTTACGAGAAAACTTACCAAAAAATTGAAACGTTTCTCCACAATCTGAGAAAAGACAACTTATATTTCCGGGCTTGACTGATGAGGCTGGGCTTCGTGGACCCCTAGAATGCCTTCGCGGACCCTTTTGGGGTCTATGGACCCCCATTCGAGAATGGTAGAGAGTTGGGTCCTCACAGACCAGGTGATCAAAATAAGCGACTCTCCATGGCTTTCCCAAATAGTACAGTTCTTTGGGCCAAAATATGGTTTTCATCTTGAAATTTTGAGGCTGGGAAAGTCTGAAGCAGTCAAGGTACAGTCAAAGGTGAATTTAGGAGTTTTACGTACTAAGCCAAAAAGGGGCCTCTGGTACGCCCCAGTGGAGGACTGAGGATTAATTTTGACAGCCTGGGGATCTTTTAGCGTGCAACCGAATCCTTAATAACACAGCGCCTCCTTTCTAATAAGCTTCCTTTAGATTGCAGCCAGCTCGAACATGATTTGAACCGGCATCGGGGTCCGTGGGCCGGCGCATGAAATGTCGTGTGCTGCTTAAATAAAAAAAAAAAAAAATAAATAAAAAAAAGTGAAATCTTGCACTGTGTGTCGCTCTGCCATTGCTCGCAGGATGGTACGGGACTGTGTAGATGAAACGGACAGCATTAAGTTTCAGGAGCTCTTTCATTTCTGCCCTTTGAAGGCGGTTCCGTTGTCCGAAACAATTACGTCGAGCAACCCATGTGTCACGAATAGTTTCCTCAGCGCCGTAATCACTGCAGCTGATATTGTGGACGGCATAATCTCGACTTCGGTCCAGTCAGAAAATGCGTCTACCACAATGAGGAAACTTTCACCTCGAACAGGTCCAACAAAATCTACGTGCAGGCGGCTCCAGGGCTGTTCTGGTTTTACCGAAAAGTGAACAGGTGCTTTGGGATCGCTCTGTTTGTTTTCCTGGCACTGTTGGCAATGGCGTACAAAGTCCTCGATTGCTTGATCGATTTTAGGCCACCAAATATACGCGCTGGCCGACGTTTTCATTGCTGTCATTTCTGGGTGGTTGGCATGAAGCAATTGCAGGACTTTCCTTGTGGCTTGGTCGGGAATTACCACTGTATTTCCCGGGCGTGAAGCCTGACAAAGCCTTTGTATCTTAAAGTTCAGCAGCTCAGTACAGTTACACAATGACAAAAATGTACAAAATATTATATGGTAATTCTACAAAATAAATCAAAGCTTAAAGGGAGAGTAAACAGCAGTAAACAGCACGACTACCAAATGTTAGTCTTTTTACGACTAGAAAGAAAACAATAAAAAACGTTATAGAAAACAATTATACACCTCCAGCTCGTGAAAACCAGCCGTAACGAAACATTAAAATTAGATTACAACGAAAATGTATATCCTTGAGGTTG